ACCGGTATCGGATAAAACCTAAACGATACCCATCCCTAGTCCCCAGTTACAGTTAGGTGTGGGTAGTTTCCTTTTACACTCAGCTGTCTCTGCAACACGACGGACTGGTACAGCATCTGTATCACTTCAGCTGCAGCACCAATCCGTCTCTCAATATCCTGCTTCCTTCTCCCGTCACTTGTGAACAACACCTATAAATACGTAAAATCCTCCACTTGGGACAGGATCTCATCCATGACCCAGAGTGGGCTCTTCAAACTTTTCCGACTGAGGAACATGGTGGAAATTTGGAAATGTTGATTCTCATCCCCACTGCTCACACTAGGCCACGGCCTGTTCTGGAGGCCATTTCCCACCAGGAGTCTGACTTATTGCCTCCAACGTTCCACATGCCACAGCTGTGAGTTGAAGATGTCGTGGACTGGAGCCTCTGCCAGGCATTCGCAGCGCACCTTCACTGTAGTTTTAGGTGTGCTTGGTCTGTCCGTGTGATTCGACTCACCACCAGGTCGTGATCAGATGATATCTCAGCCCAACTCTTTACCAGAGTGTCCAGAACATATGGCTACAGGTCCAGTGATACATTTACAAAATCCATCATCGACCGGTGACCTAGGGCATGCTGGTGCCATGTGCACTTATGGAAACCCCTATGTTCAAACATGGTACTCGTTATGGACAAAATGGGATTTGCACATAAGTCCGAGAAATAAACGGAGTGTCACAGGGCTCTGTACTAGGTCTCCTTCTATTTATCATTTACATAAACAATCTTGGTCTAAATGTGCTAGATGCAACATTGCACTTCTATGCTGATGACACAGTTATTTCAACTCTTGTCCAAGCCATTGACTTCTTGCAGAAAACCTTTTCTACTGTCCAGCACTCATTACTTTAGCTTAAACTGCACACATGCAGTGGCAGGTTGCCCTGCAGTGGAATGAACCCACCCCCCGACCATACACACACAACACAGACATCACATGGGGATACAAGTCAGAGAACGGTTGCATTACAGAAAAAACACTGACATGTACACTACAATGGGAAAGTACAAGAGGAAAAAAAAGAGACTCATTGCTGTGCTATAGGAGGACAGCATGAGAACAGGAAACAAAAAAACTCCTCCGCACAGGAAAGCACATAAATGTCCACAGTACAACAATATGGAGCACGTGACCAGCAACAGGGTTGGGTAGGGGGTCAGGAGTAATCCTAGGCAACACAGCAGCCATCCTGCCACTGCGCCGTCTCTCCAGCCC